ATAGTCATCCATGTATCTAACCAACAATTTGGGGGTTAGTATTGCTTCTTGCAGGAAGTGTTCCTCCAATCTTGCCAATCTTTCAAGATCCCATCGCGAATACTTGTGATTTTTCATATAACTTACCATTATTAGACTTATTAACCCATCAATGAGTACCACATTTTTACGTTTGATGTTAGGTTATACGAATAAATACAAGGATTCGCCATGGGATCTTGCCTGTCTTCTATCTTAATGAACTATTTTATGGCAAGATTGGATAATCACTTCCTGCAAGAGGCAATATTAACCCCCAAATTGTTGGCTACATACATGGAGGACTATTTTGTCATCTGGCCTCATGGTAAGAACAGTATAGATAGTTTCCTATATGCACTCAACCAGCATGAAAGAAACATTAGGTTTACGATGGAAATGGAAGATAATAAGTCTTTACCTTTTCTCGATGTTCTCATCGTTAGAGAAGAGGTTAAGTTAGGAAGAGAAGTTTAAAGAAAGCCAAAATATGTTGGCTCTTTGCTTAATTTTCTTTCCAACCGTAGCTACAAGACTAAGGTTGGAATTTTAAGTCAATGATTCTTAGAAGTATGAGGCTAGCGAATAGCAAACATTTGACTAAAGAGTTGCAACGGTTGGAAAATAATTATCCTTAAGCCTTATTGAGAATAATATCTCTCTAATGAAGAATAAATTTTCAGACGGAGACCATTTAGTCAAAAATAGAGAAACTGAGACATTATCTATGTCCTAATTTTGCCGTCATGATTTCTCTCAAAAAAGATGGGCGAATGAGTAAAGAAGTAAGGCATAAAAATAGTTTGATTGAATATATAAAGACCAAGATGTTGTGGCCTCTGTTATGGTCGCAGTGGGGGTTGACCTCGAAGTGGGTTGACCTCGTTGTCGCAATTTGGTCTTGTGCTCAGGGTGACTATGTAAAACGCACAGAGTCCGAAGTCGTTTGCCATAGTAGTCGTCTTGCTTCCCAGCATCTGACATTGGACTTGATACATTCTCAGACGTTTCGCCAGCATCGTAGTCGGCATCATCAGTTAGCCTTGCCATTCTCCGCACCAAGATACGAACTCGTCAAAGAGACAAATGAAGTCAATCTCTCGACAACCGTTCTGCTGGAAACGGTTACACTATCACTCCTCTTTCTGTCCTGGCCTAGCTATCTACTCTTTACCCTCTTATCCCACTGCCGCCCTATCACAACTTTTCACTTGTTTAAATTCCAATCATCAAAATGTGTGCCCTTTTGTGGCAAACCGAGTGTGGCCTCATCACACCTGCTGTTTACCCCGACCCCTCTCTTTCGATGGGCTTATCCCACTCGGGCCTCCAATCCGGATCCCTTCATTGTCTCGTAGATCCGTTGCTTATCTTTT